CAATGAAAAATATCTCTCTGACTACTACATGTCAGATGAGGAATGAGAAATCAAACACCGTTATCTTTTATATATGTTCATCTAACGTACTGATGTATTTCAAGTATTTGTTTTATGAAGTTGAAGTTTATGAAATAACTATATTTATAACTACACATTTATTAGTTCATGACTTTCTTTATTGAATTGCAATGAGTTAATGAATGTTCTGGATTAATGTTTATGGATTAATGTATGTTGAATTATGTGAATACTTAAAACACATAAAACATAACAGTTAGTGGACTAATAAAGTTAAGACAAACGAACTACCGCCTTCAATAACACATATAACATAACAGGTAGGTCGGTGAAAAGCTTCCCTTAACTGGGGCTCGTGAAATAGGGATGATTCTCTACGTAAAGAATTTCAACCTCCATCAGGAAAGAAGAAAGAGTCACCTTTCAATTCCTGGAAGTCCAGTAAAAATGATGACTCTGGTAAGGAATGGGGGGTTGACAGAAAACTAAACTTCGGGGGCTGGACAAACAACCTCAAAGCCAAGTGGTTGGTCTAGTTGGGGGACTAAGTGTAAAACCCAATTGGTTTTACTTGATTTGGTTGGGATGAATCACTATTTACAATTACTTATACATAAACAGATTGTTTTCTGCACATTTGTAAAGAAATTGACGATTCTCTTAGTATAGAAACTAGAATTGACGATTTTTTATTTTTCGGATTTATACCCAAAGAGAACAACACTTCCTAAATTACTGTGGTAGGAACTTGCAAAGGGGTGGCAGTTCATGACGAGGAGGGGGAAGGGGCCGTGGCGATGCTGAAGACAATTCATGGGAGGGAGTGGGAATACCTGTTTTAGATTATGCTTATGGTTATCGTGATAGGTTTGGGAAGCGACATTTTTTGATGCCCAAGTATTATCCAGTTCAAGGAGGTTCATGTATGGAGCCATCAGATAATCAAACGGGATATGGTTTAGCACACGCTAGACTTCTGAAGTGGCCCACACTATTTATAGAGTGAGTGCAAATGGAAAGATTATGTCGGGAAAATCGACTGAAGGTGCCAAAAGCACGTTCTGTTGAGATCCAAAAGGAAGATCCTGATAATGTTGATCGACTATGTGAAAGACTACAACGTGAGATTTCTCAAATGCGCCGTAGGTTAGCCCGCGATATGCAGCTATACATAGTTAAGAAGGATGCCCAGAAGAACAAAACAGAACCAAATGTTGCGGCTATCAAGGGTATCATGGAGGATCCTGAACTTGTCTCTGACGCTGAGCTTTCAGATTATTCTGACTCTGAGCCACCTACCGATTTAAGCGCGAATTAGGTGTTAATGTCTACGCTTCGGCAATATTAGGTCATGCATTATTATGTAATGTCTGTGTTAGACTAAGTATAACTGTTATGTTTATGTTTATGTTTATGTATTGTGTCTGTCAAATGTTGCGGCTATTAATATGCAATATTAGGTCATGAATTAGGTGTTCGTCTGTCTAACTGTTATGTTTATGTATTGTTTGTTCAGTTCAGGGTGTCCAGGACGTATGTAATGTGTGTTCAGTTCATGGTGTCCAGAATGTATTTTTGTGGGAGAATTATGTCTGTACTACATATGTAACTGAAAACTATTACATTTGCAACTTCAGTTATGTTGTTTTCATGCCTGTATGAGTATTTAGTAAATTAGTGATTTCGTATATTATGTATTAAGTTTTATTACAAAAATGTTGACAAATTTTATTTTAAGAGCTCTCGCGGTGGCCTTCGTCTTGTTGAACTACTTCGCGGTGGTCTTCGCGTCTCACCCTTCGTCGTTGCTCGTCGAGCTGCACAGTGTGTGGGTGTGCTTCGGACTGTAGAGGATGCATATCACCTTCTAACCCAAAACAAAGACGAAAGAAAAAAATAATTTTTTTTAATGAAAACGGGTACAAAACGGTTTTACTACACTGGTTTTCTGAATTACATTCTCAGCTTCTAACCCAAAACAATGACAAAAGAATAAATATATATGTATATTTAAATGAAAACCGCTTGAGTAAAGCCAAAATAACTTTCTGAATAATACCTTCTAACCCAAAACAAAGACAAAAGAAAAATAAAAAATTTACATGAAAACGACTTTAGTAAAGCAAAAAAAAATTTATTAATTACATTATCACATAAAAACGGCTTTAGTAAAGCAAAATAAAGACAAAAGACCAAACAATAAACAATAAAAACGGATTTAGTAAAAAATTATATTAGTAAAGCAAAATAACTTTCTGAATAACACCTTCTAACCCAAACTAACACAAAACAATAAACAAAAATATTTACATAAAATCGGCTTTAGTAAAGACCAAACAAATTTTTGAATTACATTTTCTAAACCAAAACAAAGACAAAAGAAAAAATAAAAAATTTAACATGAGAACGGCTTCAGTAAAGCCAAACAAAATTTATGAATTACATTATCACCGAAACAATGACAACATAAAAAAAATATTTACAAAAAAAAACTATATATAGTTTAAATGAACAGTGAAAGCGTGGTTTCAATCCATGCTTACAATAGTGAACAGTGAAACCATGAATTTTGTAAATGAACATGATTGCCTTAATAATTTCTAAATGAACATGATTTTAAAATTATATATATGAAAAATATTATGTAAAATTAATATGTGAAAAGAGGTTTTTCCCATTTTATGTAAAAATTTTGAATTACACCTTCTAAATCAAAACAAAAACAAAAGAAAAAAAAACAAATTTGAACATGACAATGGCTTTAGTAAAGCCAAAAAAATTTTATGAATCACATTATCACCAAAACAAAACAGGAAAATAAACAAAATATTAATAAATAAATAAATAAATGAACACTGAAAAATAACAGTGAAATCGCTTTTCGGAATAGTGTTTTCTTCACAAAGCTTGATGCACAGTGAAAACGCTATTCGGAATAGCGTTTTCTTCACAAACGAAATGGACATTGAAATCGCTATTCGAAATAGTGTTTTCTTAATGAAGCGCTATTAGAAATAGCGTTTTATTCGCAAGAAAAATTTATGATAAAAGCATATTTGGAATAGCATTTTCTTAATTAAAATCGCTATTTGAAATAGCGTTTTTACTATTCATAAAATTTTGGGCTCCCAACAGTGAAAGCGCTATTCCGAATAGTGCTTTAGCCTAGTTTGGGAAATACGTCCAAAAGAGGCCTAGTTTGAGAAATAGGATGCAAAAGAAGCTTAGTTTGGGAAAAGCCTCTATTTTTTACATTCTAAAGACTTATATATATATACATATACATATACATATAAAAGTGATATCAGCATGTCTTTTCTATTTTCTACACAAACTCAATTTTAATTATAATAACCAATTTTGTATGGATTATATTTGAGGAATACTTATTTTTTATATATATAAAATTATAATTTAATTATTATGATATTTGAAAAAAAATTAGCTCGACATACAAATAAATCTATATAATAAAGCAGGACTATTTTTGAAAATGTGCCAAAAATGTCTAAGAGATACGTTTTGTATCAATGGCAGAGATTAATTCCCAAATTCTTCTCAAGGTCAATATTTCTTTAATTCTCACCCACCCACCTTCTTTTCCTCCTTTTTTGTTCACTCATGCATTCTCTCTCTCCTGCCCACTTTCCTCCCTCTTTCCTTTATTATTAATTTTTTTATTTTTCTTTTTTTATTTTTATTTTCATCCATATTTTTTTTATTCTCATTTTTCCCCCTTATTTTATTTACACCATGCCTTCAGGCACACGCATACACTATTAAATAAAAAAGACAGAATATGCATAATTATGTATATCACATGGATCAAAGTAATTTTTTTTTTTGTATTTTTTAATTTTTGTCTATCTTATTGGTATCTTAGTATTAATTTATATTTAATTTTTTATTTAACATGAAATTATTTATATTTAATTTAAATTTTATATACATAAATACAATATCTATAAATAATTCAAAAAGAATATTAAAGAAAAAATCAAAGTGGTGGCTAAGACGAAGAAGAGGCGACTAGAGTGGGAAGTTGTTGCCGTTATTGGGTCATGAAAGCGGGACGAAGGTAGAGATGAGTTGCCGATGTTGTAAATGGTGAGAAAAAGTGTGTCAGAGTTGATAGTGACTTGTTTGGTACAATGGGGGTGAGAGTAGGATTGGGGTTAGCGTTAGGATTTGGATATGTTTTTCGGAGGTTAGAGATGATAGAAATAAAATTAAAATTTTGTATTGGATTAAAATTGTAATAAAAAAATGAAAGAAATTGGAGTCTAAAAGGAAAAAATAAGGTGCTAATAGTAGCACCCTTTGTAAATTAGTTATTTAAATTTTACTTACCTATTAACCCAATAAACAATAGATCAAATTGAGTTTGTAAGTGGGTGAATAAATTCTAAATCATTGAATAAAAATACCAAAGTGGGACACATTTGAAACCCGGACTAGACATCCAGTTCAGTTCCTAATAGCAAGTTCATGATTTATGGGGGAATAGTAAAGAATTTAATCCCTTGCTAGAGACTTGCATAGCTTTGGCCACCATGCAATTCTATCTCTCCTTTAGATAGAGAGAGAGAGAGAGAGAGAGAGAAGGGGGGAAGAAAAATTAACAATCACAAAATCCCAAGCTTCATCTGCAATTCTATGGCCATTATCCTATTACTTCTTAGGAATATCAGTCAACTAGAACTACAAAAATGAATTACATATTACACAAAGTACAAACATCACAACGGGAGAAATTTCCCCTAGTGCACACTGCACAATCTCACTTACTATCAACAAATACTAATAAATCAGCACAATTCTATCAAATTTAGATCTCCAGTAGAAGCGATCAACATACTTTGCAATAAAACCCGGATTTCCTAAAGTCTAATTTGGGCTAAAGGGAGATTTTTAGAGATCCAAACACACAATAGAAAGTCATCATTAATTTGTCTTTTATGATGCAGTATAACCAGCAAGAAAATCAAGAAGTCGAAGGTGGCTCTCACATATAACAATGACGACAACAACAACAAAACCATGCTCTTAAAGATCAAGAAAGCATAACCATCATTATTACAACCCCAATTCTTAAAGCTACGTTGCCTTGGCAAATTATACTACACAAAACTGAGACTGACATGATATTTTCAAGAAAGCTAAAATTGCCACCAACAGATCCTACGAGACATACATACAATCTGCTAACAGACCCAGATCAGTAAAACAGGTACAATACATTGCCATTCAGCCCAGGGATATTTATATCATTTAATGCATGACAATCAGAGGATGTTATCCTTTCATCTGGCAATACTCTCTGATTCTACAGCTGTAGCGACATTTCCATATCCTTGAACTAGTGAATTTCAGAGCATGCCACGAGAGCACTGTCAGACTTCTCATTTATAATGCTGATGAAGAAACACAGATATTCAAGTCAGATGTCAACCCAGTAACCACAAATTGGAGATCTTACTTGTTGAGGGGATTAAAGAAAGATACATACTACATGGTAGCTTATAAGTAGTGCTCAACACTACAACACAAAAGCTCATTTTTCTTGGTTCTTCATGATATTTCCTGTAGCAATTCCTACAGTTTTGGAATTGACATCACATGATGACAGGACGTCTCTCTGCAACAGTCAACGAAAATAACTTAAATTAAGAAATACACGGTCACAGCAAGCTAGAACTTCTTAGAAGAGTGATAAGCAAAATATTAAACATTAACAGTTTGCAAGAGTTGTCACGTGAAGCGTTTCACCATATCATTGAAGCAGAAGAATACTTACAATTGGCTCAAAATCAGGGCTAGACAAGTTGATGGTGAGGTTCCTCATCAGCAACAAAGCCTCTACATAGACAGAACCCAAAAAGACAAAGATGTTCAGTTGCAAAGCAATATCCTTCCAATTGAATGACATTAATAAAATCCACATTGACCCAACTGACGTCAAAACACTTCATCATGTCACTAATAAATACAAGGAAAATCATCCATAGACAAGAAGCTTAAGGTTTCATGTTAGAGATCAAAGGGGCCACTGTGCAAGTGCGAGCAATAGAGAGTGCATGCGTACCTGCCATTGCTAAGAATCATTTGCCTGTTTGGTTTTTAAATTAAAAAAACTATTTTTTGAGTCTTTTGCTTTTTGTGTTTTTATCTTTTATAATTTTTAAAATATTTTCATCAATTTTTTAAACTTATTAGATACACTTAATCTAGATGCACCTAAAAGTAAAATATTTTTAAAAAAAGTTAATTGAAGACAGAAAAACAAAAAAACTACCACATTTTTGCTTTTTTTTTTTTTTCTTTCGTTTTTTAGGTTAATTAGATTTTACCTCCTTGTAGTTTATCCAAAAAACACATTAGCTCCTTGAAGTTTAAAAATATACACTTAACCTCCTTATGGTCTAAGGTAAAATGCAAAGCTAAACTCTGTTAAAGAAATTTTACAAAATGTCTATACTGCCCCTTTTTTTTCCTCCAATTTTCTTATAAATGCCAGCATCACTACAAACTCTTTCTCTCTAAAAATTGTACGGCATCACAAACCCTTTCCAAAGCCAAATCCATTACCAATTGCACTTACCAAACCCACACCTATCTTGTTCTTTCCCTTATGAAATAATCCATATAGACGCTTGTGGCATTTCCGTAAACTTCTCCAAATGGTACAATTTTGGATTTGATGGTTTTGGGTTTCAATAGATGACTTAAAATAACAAACCAAGAAAAAATTTGAATATCTAACTTCACAAATAAACAACAGCTGCCGGACTGAAAGATGCTCCAGTGTGATTAGTTAACATTCTAAAAAAAATTATTAAAAAAAAAAAAGCCCTTAGCTTTTATCTGCATTGTCAAAGAGGAAGTTATCTTCACAAGTGTGTGAAGGTACATGTGCATTTGAAAAAGTATTGGCTCCTTTGGGTTACTTGATTGAGAAAGGTGGGAGTTGTGTGTAAGTGCCTCTGTACACGTGTGATGACAAGGAAAAATGGTGGTTTCAGCAATGGTGGGCTTGGGTTGTTGGAGGAAGTGAGGGAGACAAGGAGATGAAAGAGAGGGGATGGAGTGTGAACTGTGCAATGGTGAAGGGGAGGAGGTGGAATGAACAAGAAAATGAAGAAAAGAAGCGAAAATAAAAGGGCAAAAGACTCGTATATCACTCATGTCCTGTCACATGCACTTAATTTAGTGGATGTTACACAAACAGTTAAGTTTGACAGAATTCGTTACTTTTGCATTTTACTCTGAACTGCAAGGAGGTTATATGTATATTTCAAAAACCATAGGGAGGTAATGTGTTTCCAAGCAACCACAAGGGCATACATATCACACCCTTATTCAACCTCTCCTTAATGAAATGTCTGTCTCTAATTACTCCAAATTTGATAATAAATCAAGTATTAAACACACATCCTATGAGTAAGAGGCATCATCTACTTGAAAAATAGACAATCGAGACTGGCAAAATTTGAATTTACTCACAGTTTCAAAGTTGATAGGATCCATCTCCTTGAGCTTCTGCACATGGCCTTGTGTGTCTGGATCAAAGACACTTCCCATGACTTCAGCAAAATCTGGTATACCTAAAAAAATTTAACTGAAAAGCGTAAGTGTATGAGAGGAATGACAAATGATTTATTTTATTCATGAGTTTTACGTAGTTGAATAAATGAATACTACTTCAGCGAGACAAACAGTACTCATGTTAACATAAACCAACCGGGTATGGGCATCCTTGCTAATTCTCCTAAATAATGGATATTTTCAAAAAGTGGATGCACCTACGCCCAAGTCCATGTAACATAGTAGGGTGAGGAAGAAGGAGAAATTCATAATTGATATATAAATGAGCAATATAATTGCTTCACAACTTTTACAGTTTCTACCAACCATCACTATTGAAAATTTGGTTAATATAATTAAGTGGACTCATACTGATAAAAACTCACAGATCAAACTAGCCCAATAACCCAAAGAGAAACAATCCAAAACCAGAATGTTATCACCATGGAAAATTCTTTCAGAGTAACATTTTCCAGTATTGCCAAATCTTAGGAAAAGTTCCCTATGACACATGTTGCACTACAAATACAACAATACAAATAGAGCAAGTAAGATAGGAGAGCACTAACGTACAAATTAGATAACAAGTATCTAAAGCGCAAATATAAATAGAAAAACATTGTGAAGAGAGCAAGTTGTGCCGCTTTAGTATAGAGCTGCAAGTCTAAAACTTCACCATGATTGACTAATTTAAACCAATTATCAATACAGTTGAGAAGATTACCATGAAACAGTGAACCTGGTTTCCTTTGCTTCGATAATTCAGACCTTGATATTGTTCTACACAAGCTTCCGATGCCATGAATGCCACTGTTGATAATCCTTGCTACCCCCTTCGATCCAATATCAGTTGAAGCAGTAACATTTTATGCCATAATATGTATTAGAAAGTTCTCTCAAATAAAAAATATACATATATCTATGAACAAGGGAGAAATAACACAAATAAAAACACTTATGCATGCCTTCGACTCCATGAAGATTGTATTCATCCTGGGATAGCATGATTCCACTTGATGGAGAGTGTATGAGCATGGAAGTGTCATCCCATGGAGAATATCAAGGTGCAAGGGAATTAAACGAAGAAGGATAAGCCATGAAAGCTTGTAATGGTGCTAAAACTGCCAATTTTTAAAAGAAATGCATGTCAGAATGACAAAAATTCAAATAAAATCCTCTGCCATATGTACTTTCATCGTCATCATGGGACAAACCATTTTTTGGTGCCTTTTGCAGGTAAGGATGAGCAGCTTTGTGCTTAAGTCAAGGTGGTGGCACATGCGCTATAGTCCCATTTTTTTGGACCTTCAAAAGTATTTTTGGGCATGACTTCGGATCTGCAAATGGAATTATTTAGCCCAGATATATAAAGAGCCAGAACTGATAAATTGCATAAATGAACATTCTTCAAATGATTTAAATTCAAAACAAATAAAAAGTTTAAAATTTAAATTGACAAAATTAAAAATTTTATATTTTAATAAATTACAACTAACATTACTTTAAAATATAATCAAACACCATAACAAGTCCTAACCAATTTTATTTCAATAATTTGCTTGCTCCACCGCCATAATACCCCATAACCTATCACTGCAATAGTTTAAAACCAATACCAAATTGATTATAATCTACATATGGTATGTATGACAAATATTTTAGCCTGACCTTTTCAAGTATTGTGTTTGGATCATAAATTTAAGTTAAGATTTGAAAAGGAGATGAGAAATGAAAGAAAATTTTAATTTATATTTCATCCACGATTTTCCAACCTCATATTCTCTTTTCTTTTTCAAATCATTGTTTAAATCTATTATCCAAACACAGTATAGGTAGGGCAGATAATTTGCTTCCATCAACCCCACAGAGGACATAAAAAGCTTCCATCACCAATTTATTATCAAACTGACAATAAATTCATAAAAGAAAATGCTTACATAATACTTAGTAGCTCCTACTATTTGCTATGGCGATATACAAAGAGAAACATGTAATGCTATGCCAGTAAGCAGATTAGTTAAAAACTTCAGCTGTACAAAGACTTTGAAGAATACCAAGTACATCTTGTTTATGCTAAGGAAAATAGTAACATATAGAATCAAAGCAAATGCAAAAGGTCTGAGTTTGGTCTGGTTAGGAATTCAATTTCATGTTGAGTTTGTCGCCGAGTTTATTTCATAGACCCTTAAAAGCTCACTTCATATGATGTGTGATCAAAAGGATAGGATACCTCCATATACCCTCTACTTGATGGTCAATTAGTTTAGTATCCAATCTTTTTCTCCTATTTCTTTACAAGACAAAGTAGTTGAAGGATGTTGCCATAAAGCTGTTATCAACATCGGTTTATATATACTAGTTACGGGGAGTCATGCGTTGCATGATGACCCGTGCCCATGGTCCAAGTCAGTGCATAATCATCAAGTCGTAGATGAATTTCAACCAATTATTTGAGCTTGAAATTAGAATTAGCCATGGCAATTGTAAGTAGTTCATTATCATGATTTTTTTTTTTCCCAGCAGTAAGGTAATAACATTTTACAAAACGAAGGTGAAAAGAACACTTCTATTAGTCATTAAATCCAAAAGGGGGAAAACACGATTGGCTCAGACCAACTGACAAACAACATCATAAGCATTACAAAAAAACAAAGTGAACCCCAGCCTAAAATTAAATCTCCATTTTAACATTCCTCAAATTCATAAATCCGAAAGCTGCAACATCATCTAGCAACATCATCTAGCAACAAACTCTTCAATCAATCGACCATCTACTCCTCTATGCATGAGAAAACCTTTCCTATCAGCAAGTCATCCCGCTTGAAGTGCGCACATAGCAACCAAAATATGTGGAGCACTAAAGTCCAACATCATAAAACAAAATAAATTAAATTAAATTATAAATAAAAAAAAAACAACAACACAACTTCTCAACTACACCCCAAAACAGAGCAGCATCACAAAGCCAGTTGTTCATGATCTCCAAATTAACCTTAACCCAAAAGGCCACTCTTACCTTTGATCAAATCAAATGTACCTTGGCAAAATTGGTTATTCTATTATAGTTTACAACCAAAAGGTTTGTCACTTCACATTGAGATGCAAGTCATGAAGTATAGAAAACATGATTCACTATTAAGGAAAAAGGGAAAATTCAAAAAAAATTTATGAAAAAAGAAAAGAAAATAGTGCAAGGTGAGTAAATCCTAAGACCAAATGCTATCCCAAAAGATCAGGCATTTCCGTCTCTCTGTAAGCACACTGATCTGCGCGAGGTAGCTGCTAGATAAGTAGTTTTCTGCTCATCACCTCCATTGCTGTCATATTCATATCTATATCAAAAGTTTTAGATATTTAAATGTGAAACCTAACCTTGCATCTTTGATGCAAAAAGTAACACCTAGAGTCAAGAGTTTTAGAAACAAGTAATGTAATGTCAGTACAACAAGGACTAATATGTTACAAATTAAAGAGAGAATTATTAGTAGTGGATGAAGAAATATATTTTGGAGTTTGTTTTCCAGAAAATCTGAAATCCCCAAGCTTAGTATCCCACATAGTTTGTTCTAATTCCATTCTCTCATTTTGATACTGAGTATGCGCCCTTCATAACTACCTGTAGATGAGTACAACTATTGAGGATCAATAATTGAATTGGGAAAAGAATGTGAAATAATATTTTCTATGGCTGAAATATATATGTATTTTTTTTTTTATTGCTTTTAACCTTTTGTTGTATAATTTGTGGTTGAGGTTTTCTGTTTGTTCATTCATGTATACTTTGAGTAAGCCCTAGTATTTTACTATCTGGAAATATTTCATCATGATACATCATGAAATTATCTTGGTTTTGTTTTTGAACACCAAAAGATTTCAAATAGTACATCAAAATTTATGCCTTCTCCTTCCAACTGTTGTACCAAATTTAAAACTTGTGTCATTCAATGATTTAGCCAATTGTGAAAACCAACTCTAAAATCCATGTGCACATCCGGTGTGAACAAATCAACTTTAGTTGCTACTTATCTCATGCAAAAGAAATGACAAAATTGCCACATTATTGGCCTGCAAAAATGCATGGATAAACTGTTTAGAGGAAGGTGCATCTGATTGCAACAACATAGGTACAAATGTGTCAGATAGCATTGCCAGGAAAAAGAAATTTAAGGTCGCAAGAAATCTTCTGCATCTTTACTGATAGCAAGATCCAAGGTTTAAGCATTTTGAGAATGAATAAATGTGAAGAACAAAAATGTATATACACTCTGGTAAGACTGAATAAATAATATATTTTTTATTATTAACCAGCCTGTGGACAGACAAATAAAAGGAGTATTTGAAATTGAAGAGTTAATAAGAAGACAAATTTTCAGAACATTTTTTTTTTGAAAGTGTATAAAATAATATGTGTGAGAAACCCCTGTTGAAGCTATAAATCGAAATATGTCATATTTGAAAAGATTGGGCATGGCAAAACCCTTATAAAAAGTACAATACAAATAAAAGGGAAATATATAAACTAGCAAAAAAAATCCGTGGTGGCTCTGGACTACTCCATGCATGTATATAAATATTATGCTCAGTGGACGATTCCATCAACCCCAACGCCCCCTCCAAAAAAGAAAACAGGGAGTGAAATGGAAACAAAAATTGTAAAATATTAATTGAGAAAAAGAATAGACACATGGATAAGAAAAAGAATAACCACATATCTATGCACTTTGAAAACACTTCTTCCTCACATAGCTAAATAAAATTTATAGTTTGGGCCATAACTAAAACATGTAACTTTAAAGAAAATCAAAACTCATTTACAAAGCCTCATGGATAAAAAATTCATACCCAAAGACACCAAAAGAGCACAATATCTACACACAAAGAACATTTATCTATAAGTATTAGCAAAACCGAAAATCAAGTAAAAATAAGAAAAAGTCAGTGGGCAATAATTTTTTTTTTTTTTTTTTTTTTGGGGGGGGGGGGGGCACAAGTAAAAATAAGAAAAGGCAAGTGGACAATAATTTTTTTTTTTTTTCGGGGGAAAGGGACCAATTTCTATCTGGAAGGTTTGAAAAGGAAACTGTGTTCCTTATCCCTACTGAAGAGAATCTCAGTTGGACTCTTAACTGCTTCAAAAACTAAAAGGAAATTGAAATAATTATGTTAAATTTAAACAAAATAGTGACCTGAACTATGAATTTAATCATCTGACCACCGTTTTACCAAAAAACAAAACGACCAACATTGATCCAATTCTAGAGAATCGTGCTAAAATAGAAAAGTAAAGCAAGCATCTAACCTTTTGACAAGAATGGTGAGTGTACTCCTTCATGAGTGATGTAAAACTTTAGGATATTTGGCAAAAGATTTTGGGGATAACCAAAGTCCATGATCTTTGCAATTTTTTATGAAAAAGTATATCAAATATTAATGTAGGTAGCTAGAAAAAAGAGCCCAATCTAGCACACATTAAGCATTTCAAAAGTACAAATATCATAAAGTCCGGCTTCGAAGATGAAGAGTGTGGACCAGAAAGATCATACAACAATAGTGCATAATTTGCAATAAACGCATGGACAAAAGCAATTTTGTCTATGCATTAGTATGTACACATGTGCACATGATTATATCAAATCAGGTGGCCATCAAATGTATCATATATGGTTGCAAATATGCAGCAAAGCCCGATGAAAAAGGGCAAGACACAAATAAGAATTACAAGATAGTTCACAAACAAAAAGATAGATGCTTGTTTTGAAGATTTCATCTCGAAGGCAGGGCCATGCTTATATTGAAATAACTAATTCACCACACAAAGATACTTGACTCAACAAACACATATGCTTGATTCACCAAAATTGGGAAGAATTTAGGTTAGTTTGGTCTCACATTAATGGCTATAAGATATCAAAATTATCTAAGAAATTTTAAAGGATACATGCAGTCCATTTCTTAGATCAAGTTTAATCATATGCTTAATCATGATATCAAGTAATAATAGTAAATTTATGCAAAACCGAGATTAATTTTCTACGAAATCTATGACCAAGACAATGTGAAAGTGGCAATTTTTAAAATTACAAAGCACCTTTCATTTATTTTTTAAGAAACATTTCAAAAATCCTGACTTTGTAAATAAGAATTGATGTCAAAACCACATTTTTTGAAGCACAAAATTCAAAATAATGCTTGGCATAAAAAGAATGAAAAAGGTAAATTTATTGTTTGCAAAACACAAAATACACAAGTGATGTTTCTGCATTTCCACATTTCCTTTTTTAAGTCATTTATACTTACCATGACTTTCTGCAAACTATTAATTTAGAGTGGTTAAAAAATGATAAAATGTCAGCTTATGTTGAACAAAATTGCCATCAGGTGTACTTAAAAATCTAAAAAATGTGATGACAATTATTGAATAGTTTACTACATAAGTAGATTCCATCAGCATTTTAAATGATCATAAAAATATTTTAGGTTATACTTCAAATTGTATAGCAATTACAATGATCAATTGAGATTCATTTCAGAATGGAGGTTTGTTACAATAAACTTCTAAATTTCTCAAGACATCAATGTAAAAAAATAGTTTAACACCCAAGGATCTACATGTCTTAGATTGGATAAGATGCAACCACTATGCATTTAGTAATGCACAAGTTTGCTTCAAAAGACTCCAGGCCAATTAAAATAAGGGTAAGAGGCCATTTCAGGAACAACTTATTAAAAAACAAAAGAAGCCAATAATCAAACATTATGGGTCCTTTTCCCTTGTTAGCAGCTTTCTGAGGGAGTTCAACACAAGGCAGAAAGCCCAAAGATATTACTGGAGGATTCTAAAGATACCATTTATCAAAGGTTGAACACATAGAAACTATGACTCAAAAAGAAAAAACAGTTAATCATTACAAGTGAGTGAGTAATGTGGAATCGCATTATCCTTCTTACTAAAGAGGGATATTTTTGCTTTTAGGTATCTATGTGCTGCAAACTAACATATGTTCTAACTATCAGAAAAACAACAATTAAATAAAGTTATCGAACTCCAAGAAGCTATGACAAAGCTATTTTGATACAAGGTGTTTGATGGCTTCATACCCTTCCATGATACAAGATGATCACCATAGAAAGTACAAAAACCATAAGTAGAACGCCGATCAATTCTTGATCCTGCATAATCAGCATCAGTGAAACAAGAGAGCCCAGATTGAGGAGCGGCTGTCAAGAATAATCCTAAGCCAGGAGAGGTCTTCAAATATATCAAAATGTGATGAACCACATCAAGATGTTTTGTATGAGGTGCATGCATGAATTGACTAACAACACTGACTGCAAATGTCAAGTCAGGTCTAGTGTTGGGCAAATAAATTAGACGTCCAACAAGACGCTGATACATGCCTGGGTCCTCTAACAACTCGCCAGACTCTAATGTGAGCTAGACATTGGGATCCATAGAAGTAGAAGCACGTTTACACCCTAACGTACCAGTATCCTGAAGTAAGTCAAGAGTGTACTTTCTTTGAGATAAGAAAATTCCCTGCCGTGAGCGAGCCACCTCAATCCCAAGAAAATACTTGAGACTCCCCAAATCCTTAATATCAAAGGTGTCCCAAATCCTTTTTTGCTTGATCAATGCCTACAAAATCATCACCTGTGAGAATAATATCATCCACATAAATCAACAAGACTATATACTGACCGGTTGAATTACGATGGATGAATCAAGTATGGTCGGAGTGGCACTGAACAAACCCCATGGAGATGATAACAGAACTGAAACGACCAAACAAAGCTCGTGGAGACTATTTTAAGCCATACAAAGACTTGCGCAATTGACACTCTTTTTTTGAATACTACCTCTCAGCCAGAAAATCAGGAGGAGGTGCCATATAAATCGTCTCAAGAAGATCTCCATGAAGAAAAGCATTCTTGAGATCAAGCTGATGAAGAGGTTAAGAATGGGATGCTTCAAGAGAGATGAGAAGACAAACCGAGGTAAGCTTGGCAGCAGGTGCAAAAGTGGCTCAAAATCTTTGCCAGGAACCTGGGTGAAGCCCTTGGCCACCAAGCGGGCTTTGTAATTGTCAACGGAGCCATCAGCTAGATACTTAATAGTGAATACCCATTTGCAACCCACAATACTCTCACAAAAAGGTAAAAGAACCAGATCCCAAGTATGATTCTGTTCTAAAGCTATCATCTCAACCTGCATAGCCTCTACGCATTTTGGATTTTGAAGGGCCTCTGACATAGAACGAGGAATAGCCTCGAATTCAAGCTTGCCAAGAAAAAAGCGATAGGTAGGGGAGACTCTGTCTTATGAAAGATACTGGGAAATGAGATAATTAGTACTACTCAAATAACTCCAACGGTTTGGAGGATGTCGATCCCGAGGGGGATTACGACGAAGAGGTGGAAGGGATGTATATAAAGCAGAAGAAGTACTTGACCCAAAGACCAGAGAAGCGGCAAGCGGGAGCTGAGAGCGAGGGCGACGAAAGTATACCTGCAATAGGGGAGTAAAGGAGGCAACAGTGGAGAATGAGGGAAGAGGACAACCTCATCCGTAACCTCGTCCAAAATAGGAGTAGGGCGAACACTAGAAGGAACGGGAGTGGAAGCTTGCAAAGGAGGGGTACTACCAAAAAAAAAGAGATCCTCACAAAAAGTAACATCCAAAGTGTGGTCAAAGTGACGAGACATAGGATCAAAACACCTATACCCTTTTGACATGGAAGAATACCCCAAAAAAACACAACGAATAGACGTGTCATCTAACTTGGTACGAGCGGGACTCCGATCCTGAATAAAACAAGTACACCCTAAGACACGGGGTAGGAGAGGAAATAGAGTAGTGTGGGGCATAAGAACATGAAATGGAGTAAGACCCTGCAACACACGACTACGGGTCCTATTAATAAAATAGACAGTGGTGAGGATAGCCATATACTTATAGGACTTAGGGACACTCATAACATGAAGGAGACACTACACAACAGATATAATATGACGATTGTGGACACGTATGCTGTTGAAGAATACCAATCTGATTAAGATAGGAGCGAAAAGCATTGGAAATACATTCCACACCATTATCAGAATGGATATTTCTAACAACTGTACAAAACTGAGTCTTAACCATTTGCAAAAACTGAACAAAAATGGGAAACATGTCAGATTCACGATGGAGCAAATATACCCAAGTACATCCAGTGTGGTCATTAATAAAGGTGACAAAATACCGATGGCCAAAAAAAGCAGGAACAAGAGACGGACCCTAAACATCGGAATGCATTAGGTCAAAAGCACTAGGGGCACGAGTCATATGAGGTATGTAACTGGTACGAGTATGTTTAGATAATTCGCAAACCACACAATGAAACTTAGAATCTTTGCAAGCTTTATTTAATAAAGAAAAAAGTTGACATAAGTACTGAAAATTGACATGACCCGTATGTGCATGCCGCAATTCTAAAGTTTGAACATTAAAAACACAAGATATAGAAGCAGGCAAAACAAATGCCTGGAAACTAGCTAAAGTAGAAGGAGGTTGGTCTAGTGGATCCCCAAAGTAGTAGAGTCCATCGTGCTCATATCTCTTGCAAAAAATCCTCTTTGAACTCAGGTCTTGTAACAGACACGAAGAAGATAAAAAAATAACAGCACAATTGAAGGACTTGGCAAGCCGACTAACAAATAGTAGATTATATGCAAAATTAGGAATATGCAAACAGATGATAGAGTTGATAGAGTAATATCAGGAGATAAAGACACTTGACCCTTATGACGAACTGAGGAGAAAGACCCATCAGCAAGACAAATAGATTGGTTTATAGTAGCAGGAACTAGAGATGAAAGAAGGGAAAAC